CCCGCGGGCAGCGGACAGGGTTATCCGCTGCCCACGCGCTCCGCGGCTTGGCTCTGCTTTGCCCAGACACGTTGAAACTGATCAGTTTCAGCAGCGGCTGAATCTGGACGCCAGTTCCGACTTACATACAGATTCAACTTAAGAACAAACCTACAGTCCCTATCTTGTATGTAACCCGGGGACTGCCTGTACTACTCTAGTATTATGAACCAGAATTATTGTAACCAGTGTGTTAAATACTGCATTTAGCTAAAATTATTTTACTATTTAGTATTTTCTTCCCCATCTTATAGGTTGCTGAAGTTTTACAGATGCCTCCCATGCGAGTATATGAAGTAGCAACTTTCTATACAATGTATAATCGGAAACCTGTTGGAAAATATCATATTCAGATCTGCACAACTACACCTTGCATGCTCAGAGACTCTGATGGCATACTAGAGGCCATTCAGAAGAAGCTAGGTATGATGAAAATATTATGTTTTCTATAACTATTTGTGGCTTTGAATGTTTACAATAGTTAACATTTCATCTATCCAACAAAATCTTTTGATGGTGTAATAGATGATTTGTCTGATAATAAATGTTCTTTTAGAAATTAAGTGAACCTTAGGGACCTGAGAACATTCAGCTTATCTGTATCATCAAACAACTGGAAGAGGGGTCTCAAATCAGGGTGTTGTTTTTTTTAAATGTGGCTGTACATCGCACCCCCCCCCCCCCCCTTTTTTGTAAATAATCCAAGTAATTTTTGAATATACCTGAAATCAAGGATTGGTCTTGAAAGGAATCTCTTGCTCAGAGTCCTAAGTAAAATTAACTGTTTCCAACTAAACAGATTTAAATGTGTTGATTTGATTCCTTATTTCAATGATGGGGAACATTTTTGAGCTGGGGAGGGGGCAACTGGTGCACAGAAAAATCACTTAGGAGCCACTCACATGAGAGAAGCAATAAACCAAACTAACAAAAAACTTCACTGACCTGACTCTCAGGTGAGGAGTAGAAGGGAAAAAACCTCACTGATGTGACCCTCTAACTGAGAAGCAGAAGATTTCATTCTTCTTGGTGTACGAGGGTTCCCCTTGCATTCCAGCCCCACAGGGGGTAGGGGCAACGAGGCTTCTTGATTTCTTCCAGGACCAGATTAACTCTTCTGGAGGACCAGGACTAGTAGATTTTCACAGCCCCCCAGGCTCTGGAGATAGGCCAAAATGCGGGGGCTCAGTGTGCAGAAGGGGGATGCTGAGGAGCAGGGCTTGGGATGGGTGGGTGAGGCCTGGGAGTGAGGTAAGGTGCAGTTGTGTGCTGAGGGTAGGGGTGTGGGTTCTGGAAGGGAGCTAGAGTTCAGGAGTGGGCTGGAGGTTCTGGGTGGGAGATAGGATGCAGAAGTGGGCTGAGGGTGGGAATGCAGGGCCTAGAAGGGAGAATGAGTGCAGGATGGGGCAGGGGGACTTTGGTGCTTACCTGGTGCAGCTCCCATTTGTCAGAGAGATAAGGGTGTCTCCATACTGCCCTTCATTTGTGATTCCCAGCCAGTGGGCGTGACGAGGTGGAGCTTGCAAGCAACCATGAGCAGAGCTTCCCTGCTTCGTTTTTGTGCTGTTGTTACCCCAGCTGGGTGGGGACAAGAGAAGCAGAGCCAGCCATGCAAGGTCTTTAGTGCCGGCTCTCCACTGCTTCCCTCCACAGCGGGAAGTTGGTGCTCACACTCCAGCACCAACATATGGGGGGGGGGAAGGAATGGACGGGCACCGAGGCTTAAGGACTCACTATGGGGCTAAACCACCAGAGCCAGCTTGTCTTGCTGTGGAGAAGCCCTGGGCCTCCATTGTGTAGATTCCTCATTCCTGGCTTATTTTTTTCCAGTATTAAGTTTTAGATCAAGACTACCAGACATACAACAATGAACTCAACTAACCAGGTTGCCTTCAGCATTCCTTAAGTGCATATTTTTAATATTGAAGTACATAATTCAGTGCATGGGGAAGACACACTTACACTTATATAGCATGTGTAATCTTTATTTAACTTAAATGGGAGTGTGATTTATAAATCCTTAATAGTAAAGTAAATTAAGTAAATCCTGCCCATCTATTAGAGGCAGTGGTGTGTTTTTCCCCTTGTTTTCGTTTACCAGGGGAGAGGGCAGCAGAACAAAATATTAACTCATGGGTTTATGTGACAAGCTATGCTTACTAGAGGAAACTCTTGGTACAAACCACTATAATTAAAGTAGTAAAGCAGTTTATTATAACCTTTTGTTAATCATACACATTTCTAAAGTGTGCACTTCTGGGCTGAAATTGTCCATGCTTCATCTTTTGTGAAAGGTGAATGTTTTTGAAAGTCTGAACAAAATTCCTGTATCGATTTTAGAGGAAATTAAAACATGTTTGTTTTCCAGTGTTAAAATTTTGAGTTCAGATTTTTTTGTGTGACTTCAATTTAAAATTTAAATTGTGACAGCACAGTACTCCATGAGAACTAATGCTTTTTCTTTGTATGGAAAGGGTTAGCAGAGAGGAACACCCAAATGTTTGAGGGGGGGGGGGAACATTTCCAAATACGCTCCGTGGGCATCTTAAAATTTTAGCATAGCCTAATAAAGCCCTAAGCATTTGTGATCGCACAGTGCACATTTTCCCTCCGTAGTCTAAACAGGAACATGGACTGCCACTTTCTTGCTTTCAATGGGAAAAGTGACATGAGAAAAATTGTAAATGATTTGCACGAACACCCAGCTTGATTCTCTAAAATAATTGCCTTGGGAGAAAACAAAGCTGGGTAAAGCATTTTTATTCTTATATTTAGGCTTTTTGCAATATTTCTTGCATTCTACAATATTCCACAAATTCTGAGCTTTCATGGAAAGTGCTGTTTTTTTGTTTTTGTCGTGAAGATATTATCCCAAAATGTAAGAGAACTCTCTGCAACCAAACTAAAATCGCAGGTAAAGGGGCGAAATCAACATGCCATATTGGTGTAGAATGAATTTTATGTGCACCAAGACATGTGTGGATGTGCATTACCACTGTAAACATATGTGGCCAGCTGCTTTTGGCCATGGGTGCTCCTCTAATCAGCTGGGTGACATGTGAATCTTTCTTGGGTGGCCCTCCCAAGTGCTGAGCTTAGAGGGAACACTTCTCAAGCTCTGCTATGTATCTTACTATAAATTCCAGTGCAAATGTCAGCAACTAAATAGCTGCTAAAAAGGTAGTTAGTGCAGCTGAAGGACTCCCCCATCAAACAATCAAAACAGGTAGAACTTGGAAGGTGTCCTGAAGGTAACTTCCACCTTTGGCTTATTAAATTGGGGGCACAAGTGTCAAAGGTTGTCCAGTTGGGTGGTCTTTCTTGATCCACAAGCGATCATTTCTAGGAACTTGCAGCTCAAGGATCTCAGCTGATCTTTGATGTCAGTTTAAAAGAGGCAGTTTAAGATAAATGGCTCCCAAATCATGAATAACTTTTTGGGTCAAAACAAGAACTTAAATTGCACTACGAAACAGATTAGAAGCCAGTGCAATCTCTTAGAGTACACATGAATTTTTCTAGTTGTCCTGCCCTGTAATATGTGGTGCTTGTTGATATGTATACAAGGGAAGTTGAAAGAATAACCACATAAAAAGTTAATTGATGAGCCTGAGTTCATTAGTTAAGCCTGAGTTCATTAGTTAACATTCACAGTTACATGCAGGCTCCCACTCCGCTTCCGGAAGCGAGGCTGCAGGCAGGAGCTGATGCATGCCAGGACCTGGCTTAAAAGCTGACTCTCAGCACATAGCAGCTCCAGGAGAGCTGGTCGCCAGCCCATGCTGCAGCCTCTATGTCAGTGTGCACCAGCTCCTGGGGAGCCAGCTGCCAGCAGGCACTGCTGCCTTGTAATCAAAAGCTTACTCGCAGCATGCACCAGCTGCTGACCTGTGCTGCAGGTATGGGTAACCGTGTAACTGCTGAGATTTTTAGCAGTTACACATTTACCCAATTATCCACTTTTTAACATATTTGATGTACACAAAATATCATGAATGCTTCTTGATAAATATTAACCTTTTGACAGATTCGCTGTAAGGTCCTTGATTATATATGTGATGTGCTTTTAGGAGTAGTGTACCTTAATTTAATATAATGAAAACAGTCTTTGTAGCAGTTATCCTGGTATAGAATATAAGTTTAGTAATTTTGGATCTTTAGTATTTAAATACTGTTGACCCTATCTATCAATATAGTTGTGTAGATCTGAATCCATTCCTTGTTTGTAACCTGATATCAAAATGTAATTTGTTGGACAAAATATGGTTTGTAATGCTCTTTGTAGTCCTCTGGAAACCATGTGAAAAAGTATTTCATGAGGCTTTTCTAGTGAATAGAGTTTGAAATGAAATATGTTTCACTGCTATAGCTATCTTTACAGAAATTGCCTATATTCACAAACTCATCTCTTTTGTTCTTAGCAGCTGCTGCTATTCATCTAATTTTGTTTGCATAACTTTATTGTAATAATTAATAACCCTTAGATAATTTAGGCCCAATCCTGTTCCTTTTTAAATCAAAAATTTCTAATTGACCTAGCAATGGTCATTCATCTCAACAGCACTGTTACTGTATTAAAGTTAAGCACATGCACAATTCTTGGCAGGATTGGGATCTTAATGCCTAAATCTGCAAGGTTCGAACTGCCCATTCCTGTGCTAAGCATGCTTAGCCTACTGTAAATTTTTTCAGTGGGAGTTGAGAACACTCAGCACCGAGCATAGTTAGTCCACTGAATGGGAGCAGGAGTAGAACCTTATATATTAGTACTGATGTAATGTCTATATTGCTTTTTAAGTTACTTCTCCTGTTGCATTGCTTCCTAAAAATAAAATAGTAGTTCTATATTTAATCAAGAATACCTATAATTAATTTGTAAAATATTTTTATGAAATAGGAAGCAAGTCTGTAAATCAGTTTTCAAAATGTATCTGAGGGGTTTCAGTTTGAGGCTTTTTTACTTAATGGAAGTGTCTTGAAGCTGTTTAAGTCTTGATATTGGGGGGGAAATTGCCCAAATCATGTAAAAATAAAGTACAAGTGCTTTAGAAAATAACCGTAATAGATAAGATGAGAAATATTTAAGATCTTGTTTTAAATGTATTAAATAATAACAGCTTACTCTAATATTCCTTATTACTGCAGGTATACAAGTTGGGGAAACAACACCTGATAAACTTTTTACACTGGTAGAAGTGGAATGTTTAGGCGCTTGTGTAAATGCACCGATGGTACAAATAAATGATCATTATTATGTAAGTATTTCACTCTGTTTGAAAAGTACAAATATTTTGTTTAATAAGTATGCTAGATTGCCAGTAGTTCAATACAAGTTACTATTAGACCTATTAATTTGATAGTTTATATTGTTGTTCTGTGCGTGACTTGTGTTTCAGAATGATCTTGAAAAAGGATTTCCCTAGGCTTAATTATCGATGTAAAGAGAAGAAGCTCTAATTTTGTGAAAGGGAAACAATACATGAGCTTGGAGCATCTTCTAGTGACGTGATATCCTTTTGTGACAATACATATAAATACATTGTGTTATAAGTGAAGCTCCTGAGACCAGTGGAAATTTTTAAATGTTCATATATTTTCATAAAAGGGTTGGGAACAAAAATAATTACAATAAATATAGAAATACATTTTTGGGTATCCATGCAGTAGAACTTGGGAACTTTCACAGATAGCTTTTAGCTGAAGGAGGATTTAGTTCTCTCTAGGATTATTTAAAAAAAATCCTCTTGTCTAACTAGTCCTTTTTCAGTCTTTAAAGTCCTTTCACTCTGGGTGACATTATCCTCTTGATTGTTTCTCTTAAACAGTAAAATTAAAAAAAACCTGCTAACACATTCCCTTTTTATAGATGGACAAATATAGTGCCCATCTATAAAAAGGGAAATAACTCAAGGCATCACAGACCAGTCACTTTAACTTCTGTACCAGGAAAGATAATGGAGCAACTAAATAAGGAATACATTTGCAAACATCTAGAAGATAAGGCGATAAGTAACAGCATGGATTTGTAAAGACTAAATCGTGTCAGACCAACCCAATCTATATCTTGGACAAGATAACAAGCCTTGTGGCTAAAGGGGGAAGTGGTAGACATGGTATATCTAGATTAGTAAGGCATTTGATACACTCTTGCAGGACCATCTCATTAACAAAATAGGAAAATGAAACCTAGATGGAGCTATAGTATGACATGTGTTCATAACTGATAAGATAACCATTCTAGAGAGTAGTTATCAATGGCTCACAGTCATGCTGCAAAGACATGAGTGGGGTTCTTCAGGGATCGGTTTTGAGACTGGTTCTGTTCAGTATATTTATCAATGAGTTAAATGATGACATTTAGAGTACACCTATAAAGTTTGAATATGATACTAAGCAGGGAAGGGTGGTTCTTTGGAGTTTGTTCATGTGCATTCCAATCAGGTATGTATGTATGCATGGTAGGGATGTAACGGAGTAATCGACTACATGCATTTCCCTGGCCCTGACTTGATGCCTCTATATCAGAGGCAGCGGGGGGGGGGGGGGGGGGGGGGGGGGGGGGCCAGGCAGGGAGGAGGGAGCTCGTGACGTGTGCACCGTACTTACGGGGCTGTCACGCCGGCTAGACTGCCAACAGAGACCCGAGCCCTCGCTCCAGGGGGGGCTAGAGGAAGGGAATAGGAATGTAATAGAGTAGTCGATTAACCAATCGATAAGCAAAAGCTTATTGGTTAATGCTATATACTACATGCATTCTCCTCCTCCTTCCCGCTAGTAAATTATTTAGCAGGCTAGCCAACAGCCCAGCTCAGTCCTGGCTCCTGCAGGATCCAGAACCTACCCCCGCTGCAGCTCTGCATTTAAAGTGTATTAGGAACTAGGCGGGCAGGCAACTCAGTTCTGGCTCACGCCAGGTCCTGGAGCTCAGACCCCTCCTGCTGCTCAGACGGGCTGCTGCCACTCTGTGCTGCTGCGTCTGTATACAGAGACAGCAGTGTGAAGTGACAGGCAGCCGGTCCATGAAGGGAGCTGGTTTTTAAACTGGCTTTCCTCATGGACCAGCCCCCACCTGGCACACCTCACTGCTGCCTCTGATACAGAGGCAACAGTTCAGAGTGTTAGAGAGCTCCTCGGGAGTGGGGCTGGAATGCACGGGCAGTCGGCCCCACACCCTGGAATGATAGAATAGTCAAGTAACTGATAAGAATTCATGAGGTTAATTGACTATTAAGTTAACTGGTATTTAACTTCCCCGGGGGGGGAGAAGTAGGAGCCAGTTCTAGAGGGAACCATCTTAAAATCCAGTTCTCCTGAGCACTGTCTCCTCGCAATAGAGGCAACAGCGTGGGGGGGGATGGAAGGCTGCTCTGGCAGCAGACCCTGTCCGCTGGAGCTTCCAGTAGGTAGTTGAAAACCCCCACAGCCAGAGGCTGCTGCCAGCTGAGCAGGGAGCTCGGCTCGCATTGGGACCAAACCCCACTATGGCTCTGCAATTTTAAAAGATAGTAGGAGCTGGGTAGCCTGCCCCCCCTCCCCCCAAACTCTTACTGCATTTTAAATTGCAGAGCCGCAGAGGGGTTTGGTCCTGGACCCAGTGCGAGCCAGGACAAAGGTGGGCTGCCTGCTCACCCAGCTCCTACTGCATTTTAAATGCTGAGCCAGGATTGATCGGCTGCCTATTATTGACTTCTCAATCAGTAAAATAACCTTATTTTAACATCGCATGTGTATGGCAGCCAGAAGATTTTACTGTAGCACAGGGCTGAGCAAAATATGGCCTGGGGGCTGGATCTGGCCCACCAAGCCATCGGATCCAGATGGGAACTACCCTGCTGAGACCTTTAGGCATGCAGCTACCACAGTTTAAAACACAGTCTGTGCAGCTCTCTGTCTGCAAGGAGGCTTCATGTGATCTCAGCCCCCAGCCCAACAATCCTCAGCTCCTATAGGTTGGAAACAACCAGCCAATAGGAGCTGAGAGATTGGCCTAAGAAATGGGGCAGCACAAGCCTATTCCCCTTTCCAAAGCTGAGAGCCACATGGAGGGAACAAGCCTACAGTTTAAAGTGATCTGGGGCTGCAGCAGGTGGGGAGCACAGCCTGCTTTGGGGATGCTGCAGGGCTGCTGGCCAGGAGACACTTAGGTAAGCACCTCCAAGCCAGAACCTGCCTCTGGTACTCCAGCCCCTCCTCCACACCCAGGTCACTATCCAAACCTTCTGCACCCCTGTTCCCCAGGTCACAAATCCCTCCCAGACCCCGTACCCCCTCCTACATCTCTCTCCTAGGTTAGAATTCTCTCCTGCAACTAAACACCCTCCCAGATCCTGAACCCCATTTCTTTGCCCCAGGCCACAATTCCTTCCCAGACTTTGCACCTCCTCCTAGAGCCCATACCACAGGCCAGAATCCTTTCCTGCACCCATACTCCCGCTCTGACTCTACACCCAGATCCCCTGACCCAGGTCACAACCCTTTCCTTCACCTAAACTCCTCAGATTTCACACTGTCTCCTGCACCCAGTGCCTTATTCCGTGTTCCCTTCTGCACCCAACCTCCACCCTAGACCCCGCACCTCCTCCACAGAAAAGTGTGGCCTTTGAACACTTTCCAAAATCTTGGAGTGGCCTGTAGGTACTCAGACAATACAACTTCGGCAATGGCTTAATTTTTGGAGCTGTTACCCCAGGACTCCCATCCTAAATTTTCAGCCATGGTGAAGGAGAGCAAGTTGATCTCCAGGATGTTGTTGCAAGCAGCCCTGGATTCTGTGGACACAGCCATGAGAGTGAAGGAACTGGGTATTGCCCAGTTCATGACTTCAGATTTCAAGCCTCCCATACGAGGGCTTACAAACAATCCAGGACCATCACAGCTTCAAGAACTCGAGAGCTACTCTGAAATCCTTGGGTATTCACATGCCTGCCACAGAGGAGGCACTTCATCCCGTACATCCATACCAACCTCAGGGTTGCCAGGAAGGCCAGCACAGGAAGAATAGAAGTGGCAGGTGGTTCCTAAATCAGCCAGGCCAGGGTCCAGACTAACAGAAACCTTCATTGGCCATAAATAGGCCTTTTGAAGACATGATCAAGGGCGACACCAGCAACTATCCCTATCCCTAGTGACAGGATTAATCAGATGTGGGCTGGGGAGCCCACTTAGAAGACCTCAGGACTCAAGGTCTCTGGGACCATTTCGATCTGGCCCTTTACATCAGTGTGAGAGATCTATCTTGCCTGCCAGGTCTTCTGCTCGTATCTGGCAGGATGCTGTGTTTCTGTCAGCACGGAAAATGCAACGATGTTTTATGTTAACAAATGCAGGGTGTCTACTTCTCTCCCCTGTGCTGAGAAGCCCTCATGTTGTGGGACTTTGGTATAGAACGTTCAATAAAGGCCTCAGACCTATAGGGAAAACAGAATGAAATAGCAAATCACGTCAGTAGGTCCTTCCACAATCACAGGTGGTTACTCTGCCTAGACATTGTGTCATTGATTTTCTGCAGGTGGGGTCATCCCCAGATGGATCTCTTCACCATGTCACAACTAGAAATGCCATTGGTTCTGCTTATTCCAGAACCACAGTCCTGGTTCTACTGTGGACACATTCAGCCTTCATTGGGATGGGAGGGGGCAGAGGATTCCCTCGTTTACCCATTTCCTCCCATATTGCTTGTACATAAAGTACTCAAGATCAGGAGGCACCAGGCCAGAATTATTCTCATAGCCCTAGTTTGGGCCTGTCAGCATTGGTTGGACATGTTATTGGAGAAACCAATCTTGCTTCCCCTGGTCCCAGACCTTCTCATGGAAGTCCATGATTGCCTATACCATCTAGATCTTGAGTTGCTACATCTTGCAGCATGGAAGCTCCATGGCTAAACCTGTCTGAGTGTTCCTGTTCAGAACAGGTAAGTTCCATAGGTCTTACTAAACCGTAGAAAGCCGTCCATGAGACCCTCTTATCTCTCCAAGTGGAAAAGATTCTTACTCTGGTTGACACAGCAGGGATTTGCCCCTATGAAAACTCCAATACCAACCATTTTAGACAACATGGTGGTTCTTAAACAATAAGTCTGTCAGTTTCCTTTATTATGGTCCACTTAGTTGCAATATCTGCCTTCCATCTAGGGACACTTGGCCAATCTGTATTTACAAGTCCCATGGCTGGCTGGTTCCTAAAGGGACTTGAGAGGAGATATCCTCAGGTTCATCAACCAGTTCTTTTAGGGGATCTTACCATTGGTCCTGTC